TATCTCGCTAATTAGGAGGCCTAGAGAAAAAAATTTTCATTTCTGATCGTTTCTCATGGGCCTCAACAACATACAAAAATTTGAACAAAATCCGAGAGATTGAGGTTTTTTTTTGGTTGATTTGACATGGAATTACCCTTTTATCAATTGTCAATTGTTGTAATGTGTTTTATACGTTATTAAAGTAAATAATATAATTGATATGATAGTGACATGTTCATTTAAAACGAAAAATTAATTTGTATTAAAGATTACTGATTAAAATTTGTATTAATTCATATGGATTTACAAAATCTTGATCATTGTCAGCATTTTGATTACTTATCTTGTTTCATTTGTTGCATGTAAGTTTATGGACCAAAGTGTGTGGGTACCGCCGTTTTAAAGGTGAAGTGTCGCAAATTTTATTTATTTATTTATTTATATAAAACCATGTTTTGAGTGGGCGACCCTTACAGAATAAATCTGATGTTCAGGGGCCCACTTAAATACAAAAATATAAAAATGTATGTAAAAATATAGCCAATCTTTCAATTTAGTCATAAAATTTAAAACAGCAAACATTAAAATACTAAAAAAATTGATGTTGACTTATTGATGTTCTTGCTGTTACCAGAAATTTAAAAGCGTCCCGCGTCGCCAATTTTGAGTGGACATGCAGGAAATTTTGTACACATAAACTAATGGTTATTTCCAACAAATGTTCATGGTCCTTTTTTTAAGTTTGATACCAGAGTTCCCCCCTACACCTACAAAACAAAACAAGCATTTCAGCAAGGACTGTATGTACACTACTGCCATTACCACTAATAGGACATGTCGCATGGATGGCGCTGTTGCTTAGCAATGTACTTTAAGGAAATAAGGAAACCAAATGTCGAGAGTTGGATTCGTGTCTTGGTATTTACTTTTTAATTTTTTTTTTAAGTTTTAAGACATTTTAGCTTTTAATAAAAAAAAAATATTATTTTTATTATGAACCCTTGCTGAAAACCCTATATAATAACTTTAACAGTGTCAACAAAAAGCCTCATCTGAAAGGTGCATACACAGAGTTTAACATGGAATAGAGGTAAACTCAGTTTAACATGCGGTTTAACGAGCGGCCGCTCTTGCTATCAAAAACGCAATATAAATGAGAAACATACCGTTTGTGAAGGGTCATCTGGGACTGGAATTCCCCATTGTAGGCGATCCCTTTGTCGGGACACTGATAAGTCCTGCAGGCCACCTTGAATCCACTCACGTACTATGTCTGCGAAGATCGTGGGGTAAATGGCTACAAAAATAAACTCTCATTTAGTATCCTAATATATGGAATGTAAATTAAATCAGAAATACACTTGAAATTAAATATATACTGTAGTTTCTTGGGTATAAGACAAGCCCCTACCTTACACCTTAATTTATGTACCAGATTTTCCTGGGCAAAAGTCTAGGGTATTATGAGTAAAGACTACCTTTTATTAAACATACAGTGTAGAAAATTGCCTTTTGATTGGCACCCCTACATATTATACTCTAGGATACAGTTGGGAAAAGTGAAATTTTTTTGTAGCCCGCGAAAATAAATTAAAAAACCTATGTGTGTGGCCCGCCAAGCAATATTGGCTAGAAAAGACCCGGTTTTTTACGGCCCGACACACATCACAAGTAACATTAAAACTGAGAATACATTGGTGTACAAGAAGTGCTTGCAGGTTTTTGGAAGCTCATTGGAAACATCAATGTTTGGGTGCTGCCCTCAGTATTAAATCAAAAACTCACTTGGGCCCTCCGACCTCAGATTTTTTATGCCCACCCCTGCTCTAGAATATGCTGTAAGTGGACCTTTTTGCTAAGTCCCGCCCTTGGAAATTGTTGGTAAATCCCGCAAAATGACGGTGCAGCGGGAACAGTTTGGTTTCCCAAACTGGAGACCGGGGTTTCAATCCCTCGCTGTGCATTTTAGGGTTGAATGCCAAGATGCGCTGATGTAGCTGCTGCAACGTTAAGAAATACTCCCCCCGGGAGTTTGTGTTACATAGGCGTTTAATCCAATGACTAGGTTAATGATAATGTAAAGCGCACAGAGGCTTTAACAATATGCGCCATATTAGTCTACCATTATCATTATTATTATCATTATAATATCGATTAGTTATATACAAACATAGTTTTTTTTTTGTTTTTTTAATAGAAACATTATTCCTCAGTAGCGAAACCCTCTATGAGAAGGGCAGAAAAGCCAAAAGATAAAGAAACAAAAAGAGAGGGACAAAATGTGTGCTTAAGAGATGAACGTATTCCTGGCTCTGTTCTGATTGGTCAGCTGTTAAGCTTAACACTTCAGAAAGGCCCATTACAAAAGGGATCATAATTTTTCCCCCGGTTATAAACTACCCGCAAAAACGTCATCAATAAAAAAAAAGCTTTTGAGTTTTCTGTATACGTACCTCTTTGATTCCTGTCAAGCCACTGTAAGAGGCGTGGCCCAAACTCACTTAAACGGAACATGTAGTTGTGTTCTGTTGTCCAATGTACAGGCTGACCACTCTCTATGGATATCTTTGTGCGTTAAGATAAAATCATTGATATAATTGTGCTACAGAATAAAATTATAAACTGTCAAATAAATTGTTGCATAGTAAATAAAAAAGCAATAATACAAAAATGGATAAAAAAGGTATAAATTATGGAAAATACAGAATGAAAAGTCTTGTGTGAAGACTTGGACTCTAAACCTTGTGAGTGGTGAGTGGTGGTTGAGCCCTCGCTGTGCAAGTCGCTTGTGTCCTTAGGCAAGACACTCTATATACCTAATAACAATCATCATTAAACCGACACCCTCTCTTTCTCAAACTGTCGGAAACGCTACTTTTTAAAAATGGTGATAAAAACTACCTTTTTGAGACCATTTCCATCAGGTGCATCCGTCACCTGGCCAGGTGTGAGGAATGACTCTTCAGACGTACTGTACCAGCCTTTATAATTACCTTCATATATGTAGCCTGCAGAATAGAGCTTGGTCTAAGAAGGTAAACAGAGGTACAGAATGGTGATGGTAGAGTTTCCAGTACAATAATAAATAAGGGCCTGTTTCTGCTGAGCAAAAAAACATGTGTTTTTAAATGGTTATTTCCTCAGCAGAAAAGGGTAAAAAAACAAAAACACTTTTAGGAAACGTGTTCTAAAAATGTCCGTATAAGCTTGGCATTAAGAAAACATGTGTTTTTTGGTACTCTTTTCAGCTGCAACTCAACACTGTGTTAGTCGTGACTGTCGGTGACCCAAACTAACCTCTTCGTTGGTTCGATCAGTCATTCGCGGGAAATTTAGCCCAGTTTTTTGTTCAAGGAAGGATGGGCTTATACCAGAGAGGAACCACAGTATGCGGATAATATTAATGACAATAATATAATTATGGCAAAATAGTCATAATGAGGATGTAAATATTATGTTAAGGATGGAGACAAAGATTAAAGACTATAAGAATTCTGTGTAAAAGTGACTGGGAAAGAGAAAGTGAAATACTAACCCAGAAGTTCTCAACTGCTCTCCGATGACGCTCTTCAGTTGTTCGTACAAAATCAGTGTAAGAAATGTCACAAAGGTCAAATATACTCTAAGTAAAAATGAACCAAACTGATTAACTTAAGTTCTTGAATTCTCTTTCATTCATTAAAATGAGTGGTAAGAATAAGACAAGACTTTTATTATACCTTGTTTAGCAAGCCCGCCGCCCGCCAATAATGATGCCTTTGAAATGAAAATAAAATTTTATTTTTGGCCAATTAAAGCACCTTCTGCCACGAAAACAATAAAATTTCAGAAAAAATATATGTTTTTCTTTATTTTCACAATGCCCGTCGCTGCCTTGAAATCTCCAAAAAAGAAGATATGTATATTTCTTCCTAATTATATAAACTAAAGTATTTAACCATCCCATTATTACTACTCTGTTCACATTCACCAAGAACATTTTATTTTTATTTTCTCCTGCATTGGGATGTTTTTGGCAAAACTATTTGCTAAGTAAGAAAACAAAATTTTATTTTTTGTTGGCCCTCCTCTGACAAAATATAGGTATAAAAAAAGTCTTATCTAATGTGAAAACAATTTAACTTATACTGTATCAGTTACAGTATGAGGTAAAGAAAAAACTGGAAATTTTAATTCCATATTTGAATTTTTTCATTTCTATATTCATGTCAGTTATTTAAAAAAAAAATTCCTGTCAATTGTTGGACAGTTAAATATTAACTTTCCAGTATTCTTTTGCATAGATCCTTAAATTGACTGGTAGTCTATTTAACAATTTTTGTACTAAAATGTCTGTAAATCGGTGAAAACTACTTTTTTTTTTTTTTTTAAATCTGCTTCTCGTTGGAAGGTAATAATTTATTGGATCCGATCAAATGAGCTATTTTAAATTTCATTTGACTTTTTGATTTTTTATGATCATCATCACCACCATAATACCTTGCCAACAAAAAGGTCCCAATTCTCCCAGAAGTTGAGATACAGTGCGGTATCAGCACTCATTTGATTGAGTAATAAAAAATTTTGTAAAAACTATACCATCTTCAGCAAATTTATAATAACTGCATCTTTTCATACTGTAATACTGCACACTATATTATTCATTAGTCTTTTGCATAATCCATCTACGATGGGTATCACCACGCACAGGTACATACAGTATTATTAGATGTGTTGAGAAAGCTCATTTAACCAGAACTCATAAAATATAAAATTGACATTTGACCCTACTTTGAAATCTGATGACACCTTATCACAGAACACCTTGGGACTGTAACCTCTGGAGGCGGCAGTCTGCTGCACCTTCAGCCCATGCTCATCTGTTCCAGTGGAGAAGATGGCACCAGAGTATCCACATATCTCTTGCCAACGGTTGGTGACATCAGCAAGAAGGGAAGAATACAGATGACCTATATGTGGAGCTTGGATATATAAAGAGACAAGTATTGAGTTTGTGGTTTGTAGTAGGCTTCTAATCGAATGAGCATGATTTCGCTTCCTTCCCCACCCCCAACCCAGAACAGACTTCATTGAATATCAAGTGCATTAGAGCAGACACTCAAATCAAACCTATACACCATTTTATCAGTCTATTTTGAAACAGCTCCACCAATGTCCCGCAACTTTTCACTGGGGGATATCAAACCATTTTTAAACAGACAATGAATATACTGTAAAGTAAAATGTATACAAAAGTCATAAATTTTTTTTTTTTAATAAGAGAATTTTAAGTTTGTTAAACTTAGGATTCTCCTTTATTGTATGTTATGTCTGGCCTAGGCTTCTCTTGTTGAATTTACAATTACAGTTAAACTTTGCCTATAACGAATAATTTCCAAGTCAATCTAATTTTACATACCAAATTGTTGTGTTTTCTATTAATTAACAATCTGTAAGTCGAATTTTATCTAAGTCAAACAATATTTTAATGGCATTTTGGATTCGACTTAGGCAAGTTTAAGTGTACATAAATAAAAACTATTCATAAGTCAATACATATATTTATTATTAAAATTATCAATATAATATTTATATTGATAATTTAATTAATCAAATTAACTGGCCTAGCCATGACTACTTTTAAATGAAGATTAAGGTCTGCATGTACACTTACAAGCATTTACATAAAATATTGGGGTTGTTATGAAGGATGACGATCGGTGTTGAAGGAATCGGGAATTTGCTTGTTGAACTCGTCCAAAAATATGTCCGAAAATTTGAACTCTTGTCGTAGGCCTAGCTCTTAGCGTCATCAATAACATGGTGTAAAGTTACCTACAATGTTATAAAGTGCTCTTTTAATAATACGGCCTCAATTAAGTCCTCGTTTATAGCCAAGCCTTAATATAGCCAAATAGCCTCATCTAGGGTAGGCCTCGCCTAGGCATCGAACACTCTTATCTCTGTCTCTTATACACATCTAGATGTGTATAAGAGACAGCCATAATACCTTGCCAACAAAAAGGTCCCAATTCTCCCAGAAGTTGAGATACAGTGCGGTATCAGCACTCATTCCGTTGAGTAATAAAAAATTTTGTAAAAACTATACCATCTTCAGCAAATTTATAATAACTGCATCTTTTCATACTGTAATACTGCACACTATATTATTCATTAGTCTTTTGCATAGTCCATCTACGATGGGTATCACCACGCACAGGTACATACAGTATTATTAGATGTGTTGAGAAAGCTCATTTAACCAGAACTCATAAAATATAAAATTGACATTTGACCCTACTTTGAAATCTGATGACACCTTATCACAGAACACCTTGGGACTGTAACCTCTGGAGGCGGCAGCCTGCTGCACCTTCAGCCCATGCTCATCTGTTCCAGTGGAGAAGCTGTCTCTTATACACATCTTACAGGCTGACCACTCTCTATGGATATCTTTGTGCGTTAAGATAAAATCATTGATATAATTGTGCTACAGAATAATATAATTGTTGCATAGTAAATAAAAAAAACAATGAATACAAAAATGGATAAAAAAAGGTATAAATTATGAAAAATACAGAATGAAAAGTCTTGTGTGAAGACTTGGACTCTAAACCTTGTGAGTGGGGGTTGAGCCCTCGCTGTGCAAGTCGCTTGTGTCCTTAGGCAAGACACTT